TCCTACTATGGCTAAGTTTGTATAGCTAATTTGGTAATTTAGTTTCTTATAGTGTTAGGCTTAGTGATTTATTTATTTGAGCCTTGATTTTTAGATGCTTTAAAAGTAATGTGTGTATGGATCCCTGCAATGTCGTTAACTTTGGTAACACCAGCTTTGTATCTGCTTTTACTGGTGTGTTTTGCTTTATTGCTTACAATGTTGTTAGTGAAGACCAATGACTCCGGCCTGAATTCCTTTGTAGGATATAAGTTGGCTCTACTGTATTTTATAAACTGTTATTTTTTCTTGCTTAGTAAGTTGTGATATACTATGAGTATTTCTTGTAACTTATTTAACCCCCTTCGCTACCATGTGTGTTCTTGGTGAAACTGGTATTGGATTAGTCATAAGAATTAATTTTAGTATTTTAGATTTTAGAATTAGTGTTAGTAGTTGGAATTAGAATTTTTCGAGCGTTAGAAGTTATCCTTAGTAGTAATTAGTATTAAATATAAGGATTTTTGCACCCCCCCCCCATCAGGGCTTACATTAGTTAAGTGCTATAACAAAAGTATATAATTATAAAATAAACTAAAATTGATGAATAAAATAATCATTTTTTGCTTAAAGTACTACAAACAATGCGCCATTTGTTTATCCAAAGTAAAGATCTGAACTATTTGACGGCAGAGATTATCCGTCAAGTCTCACATGGTTTAAAAGTAGTTTATGAATTTTACATCCACCGGGTATTAGTAATCTAGATGGTCTCTTTACATAAGATGTAATTGTGTAATTTTGTTCATCACTAACTTAAGATGTGTGATGAAATTAAGATGGTCTCCTTACCTAAGTTGCCTTTAAATAATATATGTGTATCAATGATGGTATGGTGTCATTAAAATGAACGATTCAACAATAAAGTATTACCACTTTTGTCATGGGTCCTTTCGACTCCGTTTTCGTCAACGTGAAATAAGTCATCCAACTCCATTTCAACCATCAATGTTGGGGGAATTTGATATTAATGTATACAAAATGTTAAATCTGCACAGTTTCAAAGACTTGAAAAATAATAACATTTGCTGGTTTTAAAATCGGTTTAGATCCTTAGTGAATTTAAGAAATTTTCAAAAGCTAAGCATTCTAGTCATTCAAATTTATTAAACTTCTACTTTTATTAACAGATCGGACAAATGTTATACTTTATAAATATTCTCTTACAAGCCGGTTAACTGGTTTTTGACAATTCGATTGATTAGACCGTTCTAAACTATTTTTAACACGAAAAATTCATCTAGTTCGAAACATTTACATTATAATTAATGTACAGATAACTCTGTTACTATAATACTACACTTACTGGCTAAATGTAGTCGACTGATTAGACTCTTCTGTAGCGACCTCGTCTTGTGTGTGAATTACCTGACAGCAGATGGCCTGCATTTAATTAATCAAACGAAAAATATTCTGAAGATGTTCCGCACCATAACTTTCAGTAATATAAGTTTTTGTGCATTATAAAACACCGGGCAAAAGGAAATAAACTGGAATTCGAGGGTTTTTGCTGATCTAATTCTTTGTTAGAAGTAGACACGAGGTATACAATTTCTCTCATAGAAATAGCAGTAGGATTTTGTCATCGGTAGGGGTTACCGAAAACTGTGTGTGTAAAATAATTATATATACAGAGTTTTGCCTCCTCCAACCCCCCTCCCCTCGAAGAAAGTCTACCGCCGGGGTACGGGAAAACAGACCAGGTGCAGTTTGACAGTTGATTTACGTAGTACTTCTTACCACTACATGACGCCTAGTCAGAAGACTCCAGAGCCGCAATGGAACTCAGGGCACCCAACAGCAAACCACCCCCATGGTAGTTTAATTTATTATAAACGCAGAAACCTTACTGGGAGTTTTCTCTACAACTTCCCAAAATTTCATGGTGATTGCATTACAAATGCATTAATTCATACAGCATATCCGGATGGTTACAATAAATAACATTGAGCGCCGTCCCTAATTCTATCCACTTATTGCGTGTAGTAACCCACCGTTTCCTAAGTGTAGAGGTAGTAAGTCTTTTAACCGAACGTAGAAGCCGTAGGAGACACTAGCGCATTCATCAGTTCACTACGACCGAGGCTCCGCCCCCTGATAAAAGAGTGTATAAAATTAATTCCCAACGTTTCGTCACGACGGATCGATTTTTGCATTAAGTATACAAGACAAAACGTACAACAGCCCGATACATAAATATATATTTATGAATAATTATGTATTTACTTGCTGTTATATATATATATATATATATATATATATATATATATATATATATATATATATATATATGTGTGTGTGTGTGTGTGTGTGTGTGTGTGTGTGTGTGTGTGTGTGTGTTTGTTTGTGTGTGTGCGAGTGCTTGCGTGCGTATGTGTGTTTAACGTCACATTGTTGTTGTTTTTTTTTTTACATTCTTATTTGTAATTATTTCTAAAGATAGAAAGTGACACGAAAACACTCTCGCTAGTAACCAAACACCGTTAGACAGCTGCTGTCTTACTGTGGTGCGTAGGAGAGGGTTGTTGAATAATCATGTATAACTAAGAATAGATGTACATGTTATTTACTTTTAGGGCGTGTTACACAGCCAGGCTCTATGTGTCGTGTGTATAAGAATAATAATTCATCAGAGTTACTATGATAACAATCAAACATCTTCTTCTTCTTCGTTCTTAATTATTAGTGTTGAAGGGGATTGAGATGTATCTGCCAGTGGGTTTGAACTCGAGACTTTGTTCGAATTTATCAACCATGAGCTTTTTGCCGACTCGACCACGCCTCCAACACAATTAAGCGTTACGTGTCAACTGGTTATGCGCCATTGAGGCCCTTGACTCCGATTTCAGCCTGCTTTTCTTTTTGGATTTGCTTCCATAGCCTTTGTCCAACCAAGAACAAACTACAAGGCAGCAGTTGTTTAATTTTGGAGTTGTCTCTCCTAGAAGAGTGGCTGTCCCCAGCTAACGAGCCTCATCTGCCCGAGACTTTTCGGCTTAGCAACCATGAGCTTTACCGACTCGACCACGCCGACCCCTTTAATCAAACATCAATACCCGTAAAAACATTAAAAACTAAGATAAAAATGTCTATACTGTTTTATTTTGCACTAAACAAGGGTGGTTCGAAAATTTAAACGAAGGTATCGGAATTTTAAACCGAGTGTTCAGAAAGTATGAAACTACAATTTTATGTTTCTAACCTGTCTAACGGAATTTTCGCAGTTACTCGGTGACCCTGTTTCACGTTGGAAAACGGTGTGTTTGCTGCACTGCTAAAAACCAAACAAATGTCCCGTAAGTCCAACCGCGCCTTTATACGACCTTTTAACTTTCAAATGAATTACTCTTTTTAAACTCAAACTCCTGTCCTGTCTCTTTTGAACATACATTTACAGCGTCCAAACGGCAAAGGGGAAGTGGAGAGCGCTTGTTAAGAGAGGGTGAGGTTGACTTAGAAGTAACTTCCACACATGAAATATAACATATCAAAATATATTTTTTAACTAAAAAAACTATATACATGTTTTAAATACCCAAAACGAATCTTTGCCTCAATAATTATGTTAAAATATCGTGGTTTTTTGTTGTTGTTTTTTTTTAAACTATTTCTCTATTTTATTTTACCAACAAAATAAACCAATTTTTGGGTAGTACGTGCCCTCGTTAGTAAAAAATATAATTTAAAAAATATAAATTTCTTCACAATCAGTAATTATAAGATTCTATTGTTGGAAGCTCATAGGAAAAACAATCAAATAAATCATTAACCCGATCGTCGAATTCTAAAAATAACACACAACCTTTGGGTATTTGGGATTTCTCACCCTTGACCATCTATATGGGAAGATTTAAAAAGTTAAATGTGGCTGCATAGAAACCGAAACCAAAACTTGGCTAGTATCATCTCGGTCATAACATCACATGACAAGTACCAAAAAAACATATTTCATAATACAGAAGACCAAGCAAGCGTTTTCATTAGCAATAAAACTAAATACTAAATTAACCTATTCAATTGCTATGAAAATAAAGATTCATATGAAAGATTAAAGGCCAGAAAAAGTAAAACATAAATACTCAAATATTCATTGTGTTTTGGAACTTTTTTTTTCCTTTCAGCAAATTAATTTTAATTAGACCTGGGTCGAAAAGAAAGCTCTGTTCTAGATTTTAGTTTACTAGAAAATGAATTATTTTCGTTATCTAATTAAAAGATTTTTTCAAACGTCTCCTATTAAAAATTGATAATATTTGAACCTAATAGAAATAACAGACACATCATTTAAGCTTTAACCGACATAAAAAAAAACAATTATTTTGCATTGAAATGTACAATCGGCAAAATTGTCAAATTCTATGGACGCTATTTTTTTCAAAAACTAAAGTGGTTCTTATAATGTTGTAAAATGAAAAGTAATTTTTTAGATTCAATGCATTTGAATTTTCAAAAGACTTGCTTACAATTTCTACTATATTCAATTTATGAAATCTCCACTAGGCTCAAATCACTTAAATAGCAGATTTAAAAATACAAAAATTTCAGTATGTGGGACTGGAAGCTAAAACCACTTACGTGGAGGGGTCTCTTTTTTATGATGTATATATATATATATATATATATATATATATATATATATATATATATATATATATATATATATATATATATATATATATATATATATATATATATATTGATTCGAACAACAACTCAGTTTATCTGTTGCGAGTTCTAAACCTCATTGTCTCAAGATCTTTTGGTCTGGGCTTTCATCATACGATACAGCGCCCCACGACTCGCCATCAACTGCTCGTGTATTCCAACAATAATGCTCTTACTGATGTCCATACAATCTGCATTCACATTGTTGTTTACTTTAATAGAAGTATTAGGCATGAGTTGAATTTCTTTTTAATTATATTGATCCGAACTATTTCTTAGTTTATCCGGTTTAAGTTCTAAACCTTGTCCTCACATGATCTCTTGGTCTGGGCTTTCATCATACGATACAGCGCCCCACGACTCGCCATCAACTGCTCGTGTGTGCCCAACTCCTGGATCACGCCTTTCTTTAACACTGCGATGCGATCTGCGTTTCTGATGGTACTCAGCCTGTGAGCTATGGTGATGCACGTGCGACCTTCCCTGGCCTTGTCCAACGCTTCCAACACTACCTGGTGATAGACGTCATGTGCTTGGTTATTTTCTCAGTTTTAAAAAAAAGGCCACGTTACAATACTCCGGTATTTATATTTTTTAAAATACCATTAAATTAATTACCTCTTAGACTTTAATACAACTGAACAGAAAACGTACAGTTAAAGCATTCTTAGGTGTAACGCACGAATTCTAGAGAGTATTTACTACTGACTGCAACAGCCAATTGTATATTTAAGCACACACACACACACAGATTCACACATACACACACGTGAGTTTTTGTACCAAAAGCAAGTACTCACCTTCTCACTCTCAGTATCCAAAGCTGACGTGGCCTCGTCTAGTAGAAGAATCTTTGGATTTCTCAGCAGAGTTCTCGCGATTGCTACCCTTTGTTTTTGTCCTCCACTAAGTTGTGTCCCTTTATTACCCACATTTGTTTCGTAGCCCTTTAGTAGAAATTTAGGTTCTAATAAAAGATTTTTATGCGTGATTTGGTAACTACATCAACTACATTACATTTTATTTTTTTAGTAATTCATGAATAAAGAGAATATAGGATCTCGTTTAGTGATTATTTACTTTAAATACTAATTATGCATCATGTATTTTAGATAATTACATTACACTAGTGTTGATGATTGTGTGAATCATAACCTGTCACTTACTTTTAACCCAATTTTATCGAGGACAGAAATTTACGACAGAGCCTTATCAGCTCACCGAGGGCAGAGACTGTATAAACTCACCGAGGGCAGAGACTGTATAAACTCACCGAGGGCAGAGACTGTATTAACTCACCGAGGGCAGAGACTGTATAAACTCACCGAGGGCAGAGACTGTATAAACTCACCGAGGGCAGAGACTGTATAAACTCACCGAGGGCAGAGACTGTATAAACTCACCGAGGGCAGAGACTGTATAAACTCACCGAGGGCAGAGACTGTATAAACTCACCGAGGGCAGAGACTGTATAAACTCACCGAGGGCAGAGACTGTATAAACTCACCGAGGGCAGAGAATGTATAAACTCACCGAGGGCAGAGACTGTATTAACTCACCGAGGACAGAGACTGTATAAACTCACCGAGGGCAGAGACTGTATAAACTCACCGAGGGCAGAGACTGTTTAAACTCACCGAGGGCAGAGACTGTATAAACGTGTGTATGTTAGCTGTCCGAGCTGCCTCTATGATCTCCTCCATGCCCACCTCCCTCGTGTTGTCCCCGTAAGCGATGTTCTCAGCCAGACTTCTGTCGAACAAGACTGGTTCTTGTGACACCAGGCCGATTTGCATACGCAGCCATTGAACGTTAAGGTCAAGGATGTTGTGATTGTCCAATAGCTAATTTCAATAAACCAAATTTAGCATGTCTAGCATTTCTGTTCAAATTATCTAAAGCAATAATTTGTAACTTTCCTTGACCTACTAAACTGACCAATGACGTTACTTATAATCATATCACTTAAAACAACAGTGTGGCCAATGGCGCTACAATACTGGTGCTTATGCTACTTGCAATACTGAGGGGAGACCCTGTTAAAGAAATGTCAATGACTAACGCTACAAAGACGCTACTTACAATGCTGCCCTCCTGGGCGTCATAAAATCTCTCTATTAGTTGCACAATGGTGCTCTTCCCACATCCACTTCCACCCACCAACGCCAGCGTTTGTCCGGGACGTACTTCTAGGTCAAGGCCATTTAATACCTGAACTTCTTTTCGCATGGGATACCGGAAGCGAATTCCCGTAAACTGAATCGCGCTTTTAAATGAATCCTTTCAAAATAAAACATTTTAAAACACATTTAAAATGTAGTGAAAGCAAGCTATAGTAAAATAAAGGACAAAATAAATAATGCATTTCGCTGAGAGTTTCTCTCAGGTCAGTTCCCGCTCTCCGGCCCACTTCAACCCCTCCCAGACAAAGAAGGAGAATATACAATTTATATAGAAAATATACACTTTAACCAGGATTTCCCCCTTCCCCTCTTTCTCAGGTTTCAAATATCCATCCCCTTCTCGGAGAAAAGAAGCACTAAAGAAAGAAGTAAACAGTATCAACTGAAATATGTAAAATAAACAAGCAAATATCAAAACAACAGAAAACAAACCCCATCAAGTTTCACAGATCCCCCCTGACTATCCGCCACGCTAGGAGCGCTGTCCATTGACTCGAAGATGGTCTGGGCCGCCAGTCTGGCGAGTGTGGTGTCCGGTATCTGGACCACGATCCGTGTCAAGGTGAACACGGACACCGTCACAAACGAGAAAACTCTGCAAGACAAAGGAAAAAGTCATATTCATTTTAAAAACAGTCGGAGCAAGAAATATGTTGTCTTTTATAATGTTCCGATAACAATTTATTGTTGTATACACCTACAATAGTTTAACAGTACTACATTAAAAAACAAATAAAAAATAGTTTAAATATATTAAAAATGTTATCTTACCGTATCATTTCACACAAAAATTACCGTATCATATCATAAAATATTTTTCAAAAAATAATTTTAGAGGTGCAGATTACCAACAAGCAAAAAAAAACAATAATTTATCATACCACAATAAACAAAAAACAAACATTTAAACATATCATATCATGAAAGAAAAAATACTTTACTGTATCATTACACAAAACAATAACAAATATTTTAATTTATACTATAATAAACAAACAGAAATTTACCTTACTTAACATGTAAAGTATTAAACAAACAACTTTTACCGTATCATATCATAAAACGGCAACTCCCCTGTTTCAACTAGAAGATACCCAGTCGCGAACATCACACAGAAGGAGAAATAGGGCAGTGCCAGAAAAAACCCGTACACAACCCCACTGCCGATGACGTCACTACTGAACTTGTGTGGCGCCTTCTCCAGTCTGCTGACGAACATCTGGTAGAACTCCTGCTCCAGTGTCAGGGCGGCCATAGTCCGAACGTTCGAGATGGTTTGGATGGCGTGCTACAGAATAAAGATTTCATTTGGTAACTGTCTTTTTGTCTACTTTTAACAACTTAGCGACATTTAACTTTCTGATAGATATTAACTAGACGACCCATTTTTCCCTAGGAAAGTGATCTGTCGTCTGCACTAAAAGCAAATATTAATTTCCCTCTAAGCCCGAACATAACGTCACACAATGGCACATCACCTGGCGGCTTAAATTTAAAATATTTAAACTTTATTACATTTGGTAAATGTTATTAGTATGCTAGACAACCCAGTTTCCTTTCAGAAAACTGTATCTCTGCTGTACTGCAAAACTCAGAACATTTGCTCACAACGCCCACTCTAACCCTATAAACCTTATTTGCCCAAATAAATCCCTCTTTATACAGAAAATTCCGCCACGTCATTTTGGGACATCCATTTATAATGTGGCGAGGGGGCTAAGAATATCAAGTTTTATGGACGCTCGAAGGGCCAGTTAGGTTGGCTTAGTGGTAATGTAATATCAAATATAACATTCGCATTCTATTATGAAAAATAATAAACAAAATATTTTTTTTATTCCACAAAATCCCATAATGAAATGCCCAAACTAAGTAATTGTCTGAAGATTATTCATTTAAAATCAGGTCATGTATTGGTATTTGTGTTATTTTAGATTAGTTTCACCGAGCTTGTGAGTACGACTAATCAAAGTTAGGTGACCTACTGTAAAACACAATCCCACCTCATGTTACTTACCGCCACCGCCTCTTCCAAAGCCTTGTTAGACTTGTCTGTGATGCGACTGATTAAAACCATTTGTCCCCACCCACTGTGAAACAAATAATTTAATTTCGTTAAAAGTTTTAATGGCAATTAGTATGTTATTATTTTTTTTAATTTGCATGGATGGAATACCTTAAGATAACGATAGGTGCGAGAGCCACGATGACAAACGCTAACTTCCAGGAATAGTAGAAGGCAAACCCTAGGGCAATCGCAATCACAGAGACTGAGTTGATGGTCAGCCCCATTGCTGAGGTGAAGGTCTGCACAATGAGTAATTAAAATTAATTATTATATTTCTCCTTTTTTTCAGCAAATAGTTGCTTTTAATTATTTAGTTAGCTGGCAAACTGCTGGAGGTGTTTTTTAACCTGAATGTAATTATAAACGCATATTCACTACTACAATACTTGGAGATCGAGGTGAAAACCTCTATTTTCACACGTTAGATTATGCGTAAAATAATCACCTCTTGAACTCTGGAAGCTTCTGTTGCCAGTCTTGTTGTTAGCACTCCAACTGCATTCCTCGGGTCGTCGAACCAGCACATTTTCTTTTTTTTAATAATAATTTTTAAAGAGTTAATAATCTTAATTAGCCTACTTCTTCAAATTTTACGAAAACTCAATTCCTGTTACATATACTTATTATCTCATTCGGTATGAAAAGGCAATGTCGATTTAAAACTAAATTATCCCAATATAGTAAATTTATATTAATAAGTTAAAATCTACCTGTCGAAGTGATGAACGGAAGAAAATGTCCCTTAATCGAGTTGTGAGAGATTCCCCTGAAACACCAAACATGGAGTCCTGCCAAATGAAGGTAAGTGTATGTTTTATTATAATTTCACGGTAAAAATAATAATAATGTTAGCACTAACTTTAAAAGTACAATGCCGAAGTCAAGCATTATTTCCAAGATTAGCTAAAATTAGCTGAATATTTACATAACATTATGTAGAATGCTAAGGAGATCATAATATAAGATAAGTAGCTTCTGTGACCTAATACATTACCAGATTTAGTCTCTAATTTCGAACATGTAACTTGTCTTACCTGTAAAACCTTCCCAATGAAGATCAGGATTTTAAACAACGCGTCTCCATGTCTTGTCATTCAACAAACTTTCGATAAAGTTCAATATTTTTTACACTTATTGTGTCTTTTCTGTTAATAATTCTGAATAACATTTAACATTTAAAACATGCGATCTTGTCTTACCTGTAAAAATTTCCCGATGAAGTTCAGAATCCCCAACCCAACAACCATAAGGCATAATATGTTGATAGAATTTTCTTGCTCTTGTTTATCGGGATAAGACAAAATCTGGATGATTTACCAGTGTTTAAAATAATGTATATGTCAAAGTTCGTGAAACAATGAAATTCAATTCAACAATTCAAAAACTATAAGAGATGTCAAAATTCAAACAGGAATAGTTGGTGAAAAAAATGACTAACGTCAAAAGGCAAATTATGTTTGCCACTAATTACAACAGGTCATTAGTTTATTATTAGATTATGACCTAAAACTGTCTAAGCGGTAACATAGTTATCTTCGACGTTTTAACCTTAGTGAAGATGGCAAACAGGTTTGACCAAAGCGGCATCACAGCCCCACTGATGATACTGGCCAGTGTTCCGAAAAAGATGAAAATCCATTCAGGGGAGTTAAGTTTGATCAAACGTAAGAACATGTGTCTAGTCGACATGGGTTTACTTCCTTGAATGTTTTCTTTCCCCTATAAAAAAAAAGTATTTTGTGAATTTTATAGCATTTCTTTACTAATAAGATTGTATTGATTCTAATTCAATTGAATTACTTAATATAATATTTTATTAAGTTAATGGTAATGACAACAGAAAGACGCAGATACACTTACTTTTTCATCTGGTGAAATGTGTGTGAGTTCAATGGACAGCTGTTTAGAGATAAGTTGAGCTGGTTGGTTATCTAGGTGGTCACACTCCGTTGATTCATTAGACTGTTTCACTTGAGGCAGATTTAATATAAAAATTAATACTATAAATAATGAAATATTCTTCACTTTAAAACATAACAGCAACACATCTCGACAACTTTAATTCGGCTAAATTACTAAATCAGTTAACGTGTACAATTTATTAATGTTAAAACCAGAATAATTCGTTAGATCTATGAGAAAAATATATGTAAGTTATTGTGCAATTTCACTCTAATTTGACTGTTAACCTTTATTTTCCATAAGTTGTAAACGTGTACATAGACAGCCACTATTAAAGTTAGTCGCAAAGCTCTGTGTTGTAAAAAAAAAATAATATGGCTACTTGTCAAACAATACTGAAACTCAGATAATTTTAAAATTACGTATACATATAAATGTTGTCAAATGCATATATCTATACCAAATCTCCAACAACGTTAACAACACTAATAAACCACCCACTATCTATAAAGTCTAATCACACAAAAATGTCTATGCCAAGAATTTAAATAGCTACTTACTTTGTTGCGTCTAGTAAGCAGCAAAAATAAAACAAGCTTTAATATTAACAACCAAATTAATTAATTTAAATAAATTTTATAAATTTAATGCTGCTATTTCTGTAGTGTGAATTGAAAATGATCCACTTTCAAAAGTCTAAAATCACACTGTATTGTCTTGACAAGGTTATTGTGTAATAACTTCAAGTGCAGTTATATGAGTATATAATTTGTCAGTTAATTAACATAGTTGCACTTCTGTGTGTCCGTAATGTGTTTGTTAACACATTCTTCATTAAATAATACTACTTTTGTCTAATTTAAAACATACATCTTAAAAGCTTTTCTGCACTGACCCTAACATACCATCATAGGGTGTCATCAATGCCAAGAAAATGTATTACTATTTCATAACATTTAATTATGTCACAGAACTATGCAGTTATATAGCCAGCTCTGAATATAAACCCCATGGTTAGCTTAAACTAATATTTAAAAAATCCATATCACAAAGCTTTTAGCCATTTGTAGAAACGATGCTGTAGCTAACTTATATAAAACAATGTGTTTAACGAAGATCTGACCTGTGAAGAAACGAGGTTGTAGTAAACTCCCCGTTTGTCCATCAGCTCCGTGTGGGTGCCCACCTCCACCACTCGACCTTTGGACAGCGTCACTATCTTGTCAGCGTTACGAATGGTCGAAAGTCGATGAGCGACGATAATCGTTGTTCGGCCTTTGCTGACCTTGACAATTGATTTTTTTGTAAATTTAATATTATTTATAACAAACTGTTATACAAAGAATTCAAATAATCTTCTTGAACTAGTTTACATATTTTTTTCTTATATTTCTAACGCTGTTAAAAAGCTAGGTTGACTTATCTTCTTTACTGTATCTATCTGTATTTTACATAAGATGGTTTTTCTTACCTTTCGTATAGATTGACTGCATCATTAACGTCTAGAATCAATTGTTACTTTAAGCTAGACATCTAGGATGGATTAACGCACTTCAATCCAACCATCTAAGATGGTTACAAGTACCTTATCTAGAGCATCTTGTACGATGGCCTCACTCTCAGTGTCCAGTGCTGAGGTCGCCTCGTCCAGCAAAAGAATTTTTGGGTCCTTGACCAGAGCTCGGGCGATGGCGATTCTCTGTTTCTGTCCTCCACTTAGTTGGGCGCCATGTTCGCCTACATACGTCTCGAATCGCTAAAAGATATTTAAAAAATAAAAGTGTTATTATTTGATATAAAGCAAATACAATTTATATATTAATAAGTATATCAAAATACTTCTTGATAAGACTTACTTGTGGAAGTGCCATAATAAAGTCATAGGCGTTTGCCATTTTGCTTGCTTCAATGATGTCTTCCTTGCTTGCATCCTTACGACCGTACCGGATATTTTCGGCGATTGTCGTAGCAAAGAGTACCGGTTCTTGGCTGACTAGACCAATGTGCTGACGTAACCATCGGAGGTTTAAGCTCTCAATGTTATGGCCGTCTATTAATATCTGTTTATAAATTATTGTATTATGGAAACATTGTATACCCTTTTTAATTTATATTTTACTTAGTGTCTAATTGACCAATTGTTATTCCACAATTTACTTACCTGACCAATATTCGGTTTGTAAAACCGCAACAAGAGTTGTATAATAGTAGACTTCCCTGAGCCGCTAGCCCCAACTAAAGCAACAGTTTGACCTTTGAGGGCGTGGAGGTCAATGCCACTCACAACCTACGGAGTTTCCAAAAGTGAAAATTTACTCCTTTTATAGATTTGCAAATCATATCCTTGTCAATTTGTTAATAGTTTGTACAATGATAAAGATACTTTTTTGACTTCCTTGACTGTATTTCTCTAGTACTAAATTTGGTGTGTTGACAATTTGTATTTGTAAAACTAAATATATTAAAACACTGGTTGTATTTTTATTTATATTATAACAATCATTTGTTTAATTAATATTTTTTTAATTAATTATCAACATTTTCAATGTTTGCAACTTAATAACTTCACATCTTACGCATTAAACAGATTTTTTATTTGATTAAAGCTACTCTTAAAGATAGACACAATCATTCTCATTTGATTTATCGTTCAAGTGAATAGACGAAACAATCATGTCTCAGTACCTGTGCCGCGGGTCTTGATGGGTATGAGAAAAAAATATTTTGGAAAAGAATTTCTCCATTTACTTGCGTCGGCATTTCACCTTCTGCTGAGCTGCTGTCACACAACGATTTCTGGAAATAAAATTATAAAAATAAGTAGAATAGAGTATGTTTAAGTATTTCTTATTTTTCTAAATTTTAAAAATTATAAATATTTTTTTTTAAATTAGCAATTATCAGTAAAATAAAAATAGAGACACCGAATAATAAAGAATTAATTTAAAATATCATAAACAGTTTGTGTAGTAAACGATTTAAAATGTCTTTTTTCAAAACGAATGTTTTTCACAAGTAGATTATTTTCTGAATTGCACCACTGTTCGATAATATAAGAACTTGTAATTTACCTCACCTTATCAATAACTCTATAAATCTTGACTGCCGCAGCCATTGCAACGTAGATACCGTTTGTCGCGGGAATAGCATAGCCCAAATACACAGCACTGATGAAGGTGGAGAAGAAAATCTGAAAAAAAGTACATCAAAATGTTTTAATCATTTCTTTACTTTTAGAAAATGGGATTTGTTCTCTTCGCAAAGTGGTTTTGTACTTGAATAATAAATGCATTCATAAAATCTCTGTCATGGTGAAATTAACATTAGCTCTCACAAGAATTTGTCTTATTTACTAACATCCAGATTTAAACATCCAGAACGTGTACTGAACTTTTTTAAAAGAACAATATTCAGACAAATGTTGTGGACATTTTTAAAATTGAAAGAGTTTGAGCAGCAGACAACTTACCACAACTGTAGAGCTCACTGTGTACTCGCCGCTTCTGATCAGCTGACCACCGTAGTAGATGCCCAGCGCATAGCCCAAGAAAACACTGCACCACAGCATTCCTTGTCCTAGACCATTGACAATCCCTTTCTCTATTCCGAATTTTTTAGCGTGTTTTAGGTTCTCATGATATCTAAAGCGGAAATATTGCGAGCGTTAGTCAAATGCCTAGAGATTTTTTTAATGATTTAGTTACATTTCTCTGGAGACAAAAATACAAACAATAGATTTATGCAGACAATGACCAACCTCTTTGCCTCTATTTCCTCCCCACCAAAAGCCACGACTGTCCTTATGTTGGAGAAGGCTTGTTCAGCCACAACCCCAGCCCTGGCGTAAGCCTCTCTCTCCTTGATGCTGGTTTTACCGATACTCTGGTCATGGAAAAAAAAATCTTTTTTTTTCTTCGTTCTCAAAGAGATAGATTTTCTCCAACTCAATAATTATTAAGTACCATGTCAACTTATACGCTGTATGGACTGTCGACTCAGATTGCAGCCTGCTTTTTTAATTGCTTCCATGGCCTCTATTTATCCAAGAACAAATTTCAAGGCAGCAGTCTTTTTTATTTAGGAGTTTTCTCTCCTTGACTGGTTGCTGTCGCCAGCTATCGCACCTAATCCGCCCAGGGATTCCTACTTTCAGTTTAGAAACCATGGGCTTTGCCAACCCGACCATGCCGACACGACGTCAAATACTAACCAGTCATGAACGACTATTTTATCCTTTAGCCAGACTCCTTGTACAATGAGCCGCATTACTCACATCACTGATCATGTGTCCTCATATGTCACATCATTCACATAACTAATCAAGGTGTACACATCGCCCTCCCACATAAATAACCATGATGCCTACATCACTCACCACACATAACTTGTGATGATGTCTACATCACTCACCCGCAGAACTATAGATGATGTCTACATCACTCAGCCATATAATTAACCATGACACCCACATCACTCGTCATCACATAAATAACCTAGCTGACCACAAGACACACCCACATAAAAAGCCTTGATGTCCACATCATAATGCTCACCCAGATAACTGAACCCATGGGCCACACAACTCACCCTATTGGCTACAGCTGCTCCACCAATGAGAACGGGGAAGGCACACAACATCACCAAGGCCAGCTTCCAACCGAAGGTAAAAGTGATGATGAAACCAACAATACTGGAGGCAAACCATTGTGAGGCCATGGGAAGGTTTGTTTCAATAGCTCTGTAGATCAGATTTACGTCCCTGGGGAAGAGATTGGTATGACAAGTGGTACATTATAGAAACCTTTTTATATTCTACGCAGCAAAAAGAATTTAAAGATTGCACATTATAGAAAAATGAATGTGTAACATAGTTGTATTTTGATATCTACAGGCGTTAGTGAATAGTTTGAAAAGTTGCCATTATGTCGCGGACAACTTGTAGAAAGTAAATATTCTCAGCGTATGTATTTCTTGGCCATCTTACCAGCAGATCTCCTTATTTGGTATACCGATTATGTAACAAAACCTACTCTGTCATCCTACCAGATTTGGTATATTAATTATGTAACAAAACCTACTCCGTCATCCTAACAGATTTGGTATATTAATTATGTAACAAAACCTACTCCGTCATCCTAACAGACAAGTCTCCCGTCTTGTGGTCATCAAACCAGGCAATCTCCTGGACAATGATGTTGGAGAAAAAAGATTTCCTCAGTCGGATCACTTGGCGCTGGGCTGAGACGGTGAACAAAATTTTCTTGGTCGCTCCACACACCCAGGCACACACAGACAGAGCTGAAACACGGGCGGAGGGATGGGGAGGGATCAACTGGACGCCTGGATGTAAACTACGTAATATCGAGCCTCAGTGTCAAGGCGTAAAGTCTTTACGACTTCACAGCAGTAGTGAAGCTCTGGACAACCAGGGACACAAAAATGTTATATCTATCTGTCTTTTCTAGCCTGTCAGGATACTTAACTTCATACCTGCAGTAGTAAACTATATTTTCATTTTATAAACTGTTTAGAAATAGCTAACTTTGTATGGGTATTTTTTATTTTTAGACTTACCCAGGCTAAGAAAGAAAAATATTTGGGAGTTTTCGAAATTGTTAGATTCCAAACCTTTAGTAAAGGTACCATCATCAGTTACTATATGGCTACCGTTTAGTGCGATACAGCTTTGGTTATCATGCCTGGGGGGTATTGAAATTGAAAATTGAAATTAAAAAAAAATTGATGACCATTAAGATCTAATAAAATTAATTTTTTTATACTAGAATTCGAAATTAGTGATAAGAAAACTTACGATTGATCGTTAAAGGGGGAGAGGTTCGAATTTTCAAAGCTAGCCTTATCAACGTTGTCCAAATATCCCTGTTCAACGAATGACCCAACAAACTGACCGTACAGGACCATGTTTAGCGTGTGCATAGCGCCGTTGATTGCTGCCAGTATAAAGCCTGCTACCATCATGACCTTGTCACGTGTGTCAGCAAAGCGAAACTAAAGCAATAGAAGAAAGTACTCAAGTTAAATATAGTAAAACCCTAATATCGGAGAAGGTTGGTAGTAGGCCTAACTCACAAACAAAAATATCTCGAAAAAAATTCTTAGGTAAGCTTCATTTTATTGAAATGTACAAATATATTTTAAAATAATGAATTTTCTTAGTTATTTTAGAACATTACATTATAAGCATTGCTTAAAGACTACAGTTTACGTTTGGCGAATAGGCTTGTAAATGCGATTTAATAAATACTGGAGATAAACCGTCCATCATCAGATATTAGATTATCATTTTATCAGTACAAAAATTAAACAAGCTATTTCTTATATCACATTCCTTCATGTACGAAACAATACGTACAGATGTTACTCGCAAAGATATTCAACGACAAATGGTGCTGGTCATAACAAAATGTATAAAATGTATTTATGCAAAGAAGAAAAATAAAAATTATACAGATAGGTTTAAATAAAGCGTTTGGCGCTGCGTGGTATATTTTAATAAGTTTAAAATACCTGAACCCATCACTTTCATAAATATCCACAAACACACACACACACACACTATATATATATATATATATATATATATATATATATATATATATATATATATATATATATATATATATATATATATATATATATATATATATATATATATGTATATATATATATATATATATATATATATATATATATATATATATATATATATATATATATATATACTAGCGTACCCACATGTTGCGCTGGGTTAGAAGAAAGTCGGAGGATCGCACGGGCCAAATCGCACACTGTCGGGGCGCCGGCGAACGAGCCTGATTGAATTTAGTGAACTACTATTGCGCCCTATCTTATCCATAGTCTATCGCACTGTTTAAAACTAACGTAGGCGCCGTGGTGCTCACGGGTAAGCCCGGGACGCAAAATGTCTCTCTGCCGGGGCGCCGGTGGATGCACATGGTTCGGTATAGTCAACGATTATTTTTACCTATAGTGTCTTTAGAGTATAGCCTTTTTTAAAACGAAAGTATGCGCCATAGTGCTCACAGAGGAGCCCGGGGTGCTTCGAGTTGCGCAATCGACGTAGCGCCGGCGGTTGCGGCTGTTGCAGTTTTACCGCAGAATATAATAGTACCCCTTACCCGCCATCCAGGACATCCGATTAACGAATGCCAAGTGCTAACTAGCCGCTCTTGAGTCCTGGGCGCCAAAATGTATTGACACAAATCACACACACTCCTCTCGGGCGCCGCCCATAACAATTTTGTTTCGCAGAAATATTCTCGGGAGTATTTTCATCTACCCCCCAAAGTTTCAGGGCGCTAGGATGAACGGTGTGGAACCGCATCCGAGTTTTTAAAATGACTACTCTTACCAGTTCACAAAAACGAACAGTCTCCTCTTTGTTGCTTGAAAGCTTGAAAAAATTCTTTAATGTTTTTTTATTCGATCTATCTTTTTTCAGAAGTCGAATCTTCTCTAAAGATTTGCTAGTGTGAATACCGTTGGACGCTCCTGTAGATAAAACAAGCCAATTGAATTGATTTTCCCTCTTTAAAAAACAAACAGTATTAACACAACTGTGTTTTAGAATATTCAAAAACTGACTTTTTTTTAAAAATATCACTAAGAGAGAATGTCAATGCGAATGGCTATGTGTTACTAATATAACATGGTATGGTTTAAATAAGATAGTATGGTAGATGTTGTGTCACTAAGATGTTAAGATGATGTAATATGTTATAAATGATACGACCTAGTTTAAGTGGCTTAGTGTCACCTAAATTGTATGGAGTAGCTGCACGATGCCGATAGGTTGTTTCATGTAATTAGATGATCTTATTATCACATATATAGTAACATGAAATAAGCTTATAAAGTCACTCATATGTGGTCTGTTGTCAAACTTAACTGTGTTCTGTACCGAAGATACTGTAATCTCAGTGTAGATGATCCGGTACCTAAGATGGTATAATTGGGCTTGTAAGTCTCGTTCCCTCTTAACTAAAATTCGAAATCTCTTGAGCCAGGGAGAGATGAAATTTTGAATTAATTGTTGTGAACGTGATTCCCATTTATAACAAACAAAATAGGGCGGCTATTTATTTCTAGGCCTTATTTCAAGATTTTGAAATACAAGAGTTCCCAAAATGCAACAATTATACAAAAATTTACTAATAATAGAATCAATTAAGTACAGTAAAGGCTAGGTTATTGTAACTATGTTAGGATATTTTGTTATTTATTCGAATAAATAATAACAAACTGTAAACTTCTTTTAAAAAATCAGAATTTAACGTATGGTATATATTTCTTTAAGCTAGCCTACATCTTGTAGTCTATCATTATCTCATTTTACGATTTTAAATAACTTAAAAATAACTGAAGTCACTTTTCTATATTTTTTCACGGATTTAAAAGAAAATATTCACATTTGATTTTTAAAATACAAGGTGGCAAGTACGAAAACGAGAAGTTGATGCCCTCTTTACAAGCCCTATTCAGTAAAAAATATCATACCTTTCTGCTGATAGGTACTATCTCCCATGTTTTCACCAACGTGTAAAAAATCATCTATCTCCATCTTGAATATTTTCGTGTTTGTAATAGTTTTATTTTGTAAGTAAACAGGTTTTCATTAAGTTACAATTTAAAAGAAAAACTCAACTTCTTTCAAATAACTTTAATGAATCCACGAAGAACAACACGTCACGAAAAGTTGCATTTCTCCGATACTGTTTTATTCATCGCAAAACTCTTGTTCAAACAACAATACTTACAGAGATAAATACATGTATTTCTATTAAAAGTAGAAAATTTTGTTTTTACGACGTTCTATTGTTTCGCGAATTTGTTATACTTTGTCTTATTTTAATACACCATCAATGGCGAATGAAGTATACATCAAAGCACCTATAGTTTTGTTACATCAGACTGTAGAATACCAAATTGAAAGGACTGTTCTGAACTACGGTAGACTGGGTATTAAATACAGCTCATTAGCAGTCGCGGCTTTTTTTTCATGTTTTCTACCCAACGGCAGCTGGCGATTATTTAATTAGGCTTAATTAATTCAACTCAATTACTTTTTTCAGCCGTTGTTAATAACTCGTACAATGCAGACAGTGTTGTCAGCATAAAGAACATGTAAAAAATGTGTTTTAGCCTAGCGTAGGCGTTAAAAACGATATTGCTTTAAATATCCACTGCTTGAAGTATGAAAACTGGATACGCATTTTTAATATTTACAATTGCTAACCCGAAAGTCACGAGTTCGGATCTCTGGTTCGAGTCCGTAAGACATCCATAAGTCTTTCCAGTTCTGGTGGGTACCTGACTGACAGTAGGGACAGAAAAGGTGGCTGTGCATAGTGCTGACCACGCTATCCCAACATATGCCGTGGTCATTGAAACAGCTGAACTTCAAAATTTCATTTCAATAAATAGCTAGTGTACACTAATTACTAGCCCTTATTTCAAATTTTACACTAAAGTCTACACATTTTTGCTTTAAAGATTCTCTTCGTAAAATGGAAAATTATATATAATTAACGTTTTAAGCTGAGCTACGGCGGATTTTATTTAATTTAATTTTAAATAATCAATTTTTAGGATTTTTACTGGTTGCTGTGATCAGTAGCAATCACACTACAACAGCAATGACATTACATTAGCAACGACATTACAACAGCAATGACATTACAGTAGCAATGATATTACATTAGCAACGACAATAAAACAGCAATGATATTACAGTAGCAATGACATTACAGTAGTAATGAAATTACATTAGGAATAACACTAAAATAGTGGCACTGCTTCGTGAGCTGAAATAGCGCCAGCTGTCGTGACGTAAAGTGTTCATCAAATATTCAACAAGCAATGTCCATGATAATGTCTATGATAATCTCATAGTTAGTCTAGGCTAATAATTACACCATGGCTATTGTGGCTAATGATAATCCCATGGCTAGTCTATGCTAATGATAATCCCGAGTCGAGCCTAGGCTAACGATAATCCTACGGCTAGTTGAAGCTAATGATAATCTCATAGTCTAGCTTGGTTAATAACAACACTATGACTAGTGTGGCTAATGATAATCCCATGGCTAGTCTATGCTAATGATAATCCCATGGCTAGTCTAGGCTAATGATAATACATGGCTAGTCTATGCTCAAGATAATCATATTGCCCAAAGTACTTGACACTAATCCAGGCTATCTGATGCTGCCACTTGCACGGGTAATCTGGCAACTACCGGCTTCTACCCAGAAAAATTTGGAGACTAAAACAGCACATGCATAAAATTAAAAGTTGGGTATGGCGAAACTTGTCCATGTGGCATGGCATCGGAGAATACAGAGCACGTCCTTCAGAACTGCTCCCTATATAACCAGGCGCGATCCAAACACTGGCCCCTATACACCCTACTCATGGAAATATATATGGGGCACCCGTAGATCTGGAGACCACAATCCAGTTCATACACGAAGTAGAACTTGTTGTTTAAATCCTCCACTATAAACTAAATTAAGAACACAGAAGAAGAAGCTGAACTAAGTTTATCATAAACTCTATTATAAATGTTTGCACATGTATCATATTTAGATGAAAGTACATAACTAAATTTAGCTGGAATACATTCTGGTCTACATCTTTAAGTAATACACGAGTTTAAAAAAAGATCAAGAAAAAGTGCTATCAGGAGTGTTTTGAAATTTGAATCTCAAACACAAAGAAGTCACTGAATATGTGTTTGTGAGATATTAAACATTTTAATAAGTCTTAGTTTCTTAACGAATCATAAACGATATTCGGGCAACCAGAGAGAGTGTGTCTGTGTATGTCTCTGTGTGTGGGTGTGTGTGCTGTTACATGCGTGCGTACGCGCGTATGTGTGTGTGTGTAGCATCAATTGTGTATTTCGTAATTGAATTTTCACACTTTGTCATCACTTGATCTCTGAGCCTTGGTCTGGGCTTTCATCATACGATACAGCACCCCACGACTCGCCATCAACTGCTCGTGTGTGCCCAACTCCTGGATCACGCCTTTCTTTAACACTGCGATGCGATCTGCGTTTCTGATGGTACTCAACCTGTGAGCTATGGTGATGCACGTGCGACCTTCCCTGGCCTTGTCCAACGCTTCCAACACCACCTGGTGATAGAAGTCATGTGCATGGTTATTTTCTCAGTTTAAGAAAAAAGTCCACATTACAATACCATGGTATTTATATATATATTTTTAGCGCAATTTCCATACGGACAATTGAGATTATTTCGTCATTTCTGGATGGATGAATGAATGAATGAATGAATGGATGTGTGTCCGCAGCTTTAAGTCGTATCTCCTCCTCAACGAAGCAATATCGAGGACTAGTTCCAAAGCAAATATGTTAAGCAAGTTCCGAGGATGATTGTGGGCCAAAAAAATTCCCGGAATTCCTTCCTATATTTCCCGGAAAAGCCAAAAAACCTCGAAAAAATGCAGCTTTTCGCCCATATCTCAGCAACCAGACCACTTAGCGACTTGAAACATTTACCAATCGATTCCTGTCATAATTTTGAACAATATTGCCGAAGAAAGTTTTCAAAAATATCTTTTTGTTCGGTCACAAAAAATTTATTACTACTTTTTTAAACTGAGCATTGTGTAGGCCTAGGATGATATTTTTTTTAAACTGAGCATCGTGTAGGCCTACTCGTTAAAATAAAAGTATTTCCGTTGATATAGGTTAATATAGTTGTCTTTTTTTAGCGCAAAATTACCTTGTTTACTTATTAATTCAAACGTTATTTTTGTACCCTATTAATTTATTTATAATTTATATGAGAGTGATAGGGAGTTACAATTACAAGGTTTTGTTTCGCTAGGCCTAATCATTTTTTCACATTTTTTAAAAACAAACTTGATCACTATCTATTTTTAGATAACATAAGGAAATAGCGCTTAAATTGTCACTAGACTTTTTATTAACTTGTTTAAAAATACTAAAATAGTTACTGCTTGGGCTTTAATACAACTGAGTAGAACACGTACAGTTAAAGCATTCTTAGGTGTAACGCACGAATTCTAGGGAATTTCTACTACTGACTTAACCAGCATATTTTAAACGGCCAGTCGTATATTAAAGCACACACACACACTTACAAACACAAACACACAAGTGAGTTTTTGTACCAAAAGCAAATACTCACCTTCTCACTCTCAGTATCCAAAGCTGACGTGGCCTCGTCTAGTAGAAGAATCTTTGGATTTCTCAGCAAAGTTCTCGCGATTGCTACCCTTTGTTTTTGTCCTCCACTTAGTTGTGTCCCTTTATTCCCCACATTTGTTTCGTAGCCCTTAAGTATAAAAGTTTTTAATGCGTGATTTGTTAACTACATCAACTACATTACATTTTATTTTTTAGTGACTCATAATTACAGAACGCATATCCGTGCATACATGCAGAGTGAATAAAGAGGATATAGAATCTCCTCTAGTGATTATTTAATTTGAATTTTAATTATGCATCATGTATTTTAGATAATTACATTACACTAGTGTTGATGATTGTGTGGATCACAACCTGTCACTTTTAACCCTATTTTATCGAGGACAAAAATTTACGACGGAGCCTTATCTGCTCACCGAGGGCAGAGACTGTATAAACTCACCGAGGGTAGAGACTGTATAAACTCACCGAGGGCAGAGACTGTATAAACTCACCGAGGGCAGAGACTGTATAAACTCACCGAGGGCAGAGACTGTATAAACTCACCGAGGGCAGAGACTGTATAAACTTACCGAGGGCAGAGACTGTATAAACTCACCGAGGGCAGAGACTGTATAAACTCACCGAGGGCAGAGACTGTATAAACTCACCGAGGGCAGAGACTGTATAAACTCACCGAGGGCAGAGACTGTATAAACGTGTGTATGTTAGCTGTCCGAGCTGCCTCTATGATCTCCTCCATGCCCACCTCCCTCGTGTTGTCCCCGTAAGCGATGTTCTCAGCCAGACTTCTGTCGAACAGGACTGGTTCTTGTGACACCAGACCGATTTGCATACGCAGCCATTGAACGTTAAGGTCAAGGATGTTGTGATTATCCAATAGCTAATTTCAATAAACCAAATTTAGCATGTCTAGCATTTCTGTTCAAATATTCTAAAGCAATAATTTGTAACTTTCCTTGACCTATTAAACTGACCAATGACGTTACTTATAATCATATCACTTGAAACAACAGTGTGGCCAATGGCGCTAAAATACTGGTGTTTATGCTACTTTCAATACTGAGGTGCGACCCTGTTAAAGAAATGTCAATGACTAATGCCACAAAGACGCTACTTACAATACTGCCCTCCTGGGCGTCATAAAATCTCTCTATTAGTTGCACTATTGTGCTCTTCCCACATCCACTTCCACCCACCAGCGCCAGCGTTTGTCCAAGACGAACTTCTAGGTCAAGGCCATTTAATACCTGAACTTCTTTTCGCATGGGATACCGGAAGCGAATTCCGGTAAACTGAATTGCACTTTTAAATGAATCCTTTTAAAAATAAAAAGATTTAAAAAAACATAAAAAATGTAGGGAAAGCAAGCTATTGTAAAATAAAGGACAAAATAAATATTGCATTTCGCTGAGAGTTTCTCTCAGGTCAGTTCCAGCTCTCCGGCCCACTTCAACCCCTCCCAGACAAAGAAGGAGAATATACAATTTATATAGAAAATATACACTTTAATCATGGTTTCCCTATTGCCCTCTTACTCATGTTTCAAGTACCAATCCCATTCTGGGAGAAAAGTTGTTTGAAAGAAGCACTCAAGAACGAAGTAAACAAACCCCATCAAGTTTCACAGATCCCCCCTGACTGTCCGCCACGCTAGGAGCGCTGTCCATTGACTCGAAGATGGTCTGGGCCGCCAGTCTGGCGAGTGTGGTGTCTGGAATCTGGACCACGATCCGTGTCAAGGTGAACACAGACACCGTCACAAACGAGAAAACTCTGCAAGACAAAGGAAAAACAGTCGGAGCAAGAAATATGTTTTCTTTTATAATGGTTCCGATGATAATACAAAGTTTTAACAGTGCCACATCAAAAAGCAAACAAAAAATATTTTAAATATATGAAACATGTTATCTTACCGTATCATTTCACACAAAAATTACCGTATCATATCATAAAATATTTTTCAAAAAATAATTTTAGAGGTAGATATTACCAAACAAGCACAAAAAAAACAATTAATTTATCATATCACATTAAACAAAAAACAAATATTCAAACATTTCATATCATGAAAGAAAAAATACTTTACCGTATCATTACCCAAAAACAATAACAAATATTTTAATTGATACTATAATAAACAAACAGAAATTTACCTTACTTAACATGTAAAGCATTAAAAAAACTTTTACCGTATCATATCATAAAACGGCAACTCCCCTGTTTCAACTAAAAGATACCCAGTCGCAAACATCACACAGAAGGAGAAATACGGCAGTGCCAGAAAAAAACCGTACACAACCCCACTACCGATGACGTCACTACTGAACTTGTGTGGCGCCTTCTCCAGTCTGCTAACGAACATCTGGTAGAACTCCTGCTCCAGTGTGAGGGCGGCCATAGTCCGAATGTTCGAGATGGTTTGGATGGCGTGCTGGAAAATAAAGATTTCATTTGGTAACAGTCTTTTTGTCTACTTTTAACAACTTATCGACATTTAACTTTCTGATAGATATAAACTAAACGACCCATTTTTCCATAGGAAAGAGATCTGTCGTCTACACTAAAAGCACATACTAATTTCCCACTGAGCCCGAACATAACGTCAAACAATGGCACATCACATGGCGGCTTAAGTTTAAAATATTTAAACTGATTACATTTAATAAATGTTATTAGTATACTAGACAACCCAGTTTCCTTTCAGAAAACTATCTATCTGCTGCACTGCAAAACATTTTCCCACCACGCCCACTTTGACCCTTTAAAGCTTATTCACCCCAAATTAATACCTCATCATACAGGAACTTCCGCCACGTCATTTTGGGACATCCATTTATAAAAGCGGGGGGGGGGGCTAAAAATCTAGTTTTATGGACGCTTGCAGGGCAGGTGATGTTGGCTTAGTGGTAATGTTCAAATATAACATTCGCATTTTATTATGAAAAATAATAACCAAATTATTTTTAATTCCACAAAATCCCATAACGAAATGCCCAAACTGAGTAATTGTCTGAAGATTATTTATTTAATATGAGGTAATGTATTGGTATTTGTGTTGTTATTTTAGATTAGTTCCATCGAGTTTGGGAGTACGACTAATCAAAGCTAGGTGACCTACTGTAAAACACAATCCCACCTCATGTTACTTACCGCCACCGCCTCTTCCAAAGCCTTGTTAGACTTGTCTGTGATGCGACTGATTAAAACCATTTGTCCCCACCCACTGTATAAACAAATAATTTAATTCCGTGAAAAGTTTTAATGACAATTAGTATGTTATTTTTTTATAATTTGCATGGATGGAATACCTTAAGATAACGATAGGTGCGAGAGCCACGATGACGAACGCTAACTTCCAGGAATAGTAGAAGGCAAACCCCAGGGCAATGGCAATCACAGAGACTGAGTTGATGGTCAGCCCCATTGCTGAGGTGAAGGTCTGCACAATGAGTAATTAAAATTAATTATTATATTTCTCCTTTTTTCAGCTGTTAGTTGCTTTTAATTATTCAGTTAGCTGGCAAACTGCTGGAGGTGTTTTTTTAACCTTACTGTAATTATAAACGCATATTCACTAATACAATACTTGGAGATCAAGGTGAAAACCTATATTTTCACACGTTAGATTATGCGTAAAATAATCACCTCTTGAACTCTGGAAGCTTCTGTTGCCAGTCTTGTTGTTAGCACTCCAACTGCGTTCCTCGGGTCGTCGAACCAGCACATTTTCTTTTTTTTATAATAATTTTTAAAGATTTAATCAACATTTAATCTTAAGTAGCCTTCTTCTTTAAATTACCTCCAAACTATCTTAGGTCATCTAAATGTTACGAAAACTCAATTCCTGTTACATATCCATATTATTTCATTCGGTATGGAAAGTGAATTGCCTGGCGTTGCAGCTTATATCTTTCAACTACCCCAAAGCCTAAGCCACCATCAATGTCGATTTAAAACTAAATTATCCCAATATAGTTAGATTTTATTAATAAGTTAACATTTAAAATCTACCTGTCGAAGTGATGAACGGAAGAAAATGTCCCTTAATCGAGTTGTGAGAGATTCCCCTGAAACACCAAACATGGAGTCCTGCCAAATGAAGGTAAGTGTATGTTTTATTAAATTTCACGGTAAAAATAATAATAATTTTAGCACTAACTTTAAAAGTACAATGCCGAAGTCAAGCATTATTTCCAAGATTAGCTACAATTAGCTGAATATTTACATAACATTATGTAGAATGCTAAGTAGATCAAGATATAAGACATAAGATAAGTAGCTCTGTGACCTATTACATTACCAGATTTAGTATCTAATTTCGAACATGTAACTTGTCTTACCTGTAAAACCTTCCCAATGAAGATCGGGATTTTAAACAACGCGTCTTGTCATTTAACAAAACTTTCGATGAAGTTCAATATTTTTTACACTTATTTTGTCTTTTCTGTTAATAATTCTGAATAACCTTTAACATTTAAAACATGCGATCTTGTCTTACCTGTAAAAATTTACCGATGAAGTTCAGAATCCCCAACCCAACAACCATAAGGCATAATATGTTTATAGAGTTTTCTTGCTCTTGTTTATCGGGATAAGACAAAATCTGGATGATGTACCGGTGTTTAAAGTAATGTATATGTCAAAGTTCGTGAAACAACGAAATTCAATTCAACAATTCAAAAATTACAAGATATGTCAAAATTCAAACAGGAATAGTTGGTGAAAAAAAATGACTAACGTCAAAAGGCAAATTATGTTTGCCACTAATTACAACAGGTCACTAGTTTATTATTAGATTATGACCTAAAACTGTCTAAGCGGTAAAATAGTTATCTTCGACGTAATAACCTTAGTGAAGAGGGCGAACAGGTTTGACCAAAGCGGCATCACCGCCCCACTGATGATACTGGCCAGTGTTCCGAAGAAGATGAAAATCCATTCAGGTGAGTTAAGTTTGATCAAACGTAAGAACATGTGTCTAGTTGACATGGGTTTAATTTCTTGAATGTTTTCTTTCCCCTATAAAAAAAGTATTTTGTGAATTTTAAAGCATTTCTTTACTAATAAGATTGTATTGATTCTAATTCAATTGAATTACTTAATATAATATTTTATTAAGTTAATGGTAATGACAACAGAAAGACGCAGAAATAGTTACTTTTTCATCAGGTGAAATGTGAGTGAGTTCAACGGACAGCTGTTTAGAGATAAGTTGTGCTGGTTGATTATCTAGGTGGTCACACTCCGTTGCTTCATTAGACTGTTTCACTTGAGGCAGATTTAATATAAAAAATTAACACTATAAATAATGAAATATGCTTCACTTTAAAACATAACTGCAACACATCTCGACGACTTTAATTCGGCTAAATTACTAAATAACTTAACAGGTACAATTTATTAATGTTAAAACCAAAACAATCCATTATATTTATGAGGAAAATGTATGTAAGTTATTCTGCAGCTTCACTATAATCTGACTTTTAACCTTTATTTTCCATAAGTTGCAAACGTGTACATAGACAACCACTATTAAAGTTAGTCGCAAAGCTCTGTGTTTTAAAAAATAAAATAATAAGGCTACTTGTCTAACAATTCTAAAACTCGGATAATTTTTAAATTACGTATACATATAACAAAATCAAATGCAATGTTATTAAACATCTATCTAAATCCAATCTCTAACAACGTTAACCACACTGTTATAACTAATAAACCAACCACTATCTATAACGTCTAATCAGGGGGGGGTAGCGAGGGGGCGGGGGTGCGGAAACGCACTGGGTGACACCATTTAGGGGGGGGGGGGTGACACCAAGGCAAAAAATAGCAAAATACATAGAGAAAAACTCGAGGGGGGGTGCAAATCGAAAGTTTGAGGGGGGGTGCAAATCGAAAACTTGAGGGAGGGGTGCAAATCGAAAGTTTGAGGGGGGTGCAAATCGAAAATTTGAAAGTTTGTCCCTGGGAAGGGTCTCTATGCCTCTGGGGGGGAGGTGACACCATTAAGTGCCGCACCGGGTGACACCCGACCTCGCTACGCCACTGCGTCTAATCACACAATACTTACTTTGTTGCGTCTAGTAAGCATAAAAAATAAAAGAATCTTCAATATCAACAACCAAATAAATTAATTAAAATAAATTTTAAGCTGCTATTTCTGTAGTGTGAATTGGAAATGAGCCACTTTCATAAAACAATTCAAAATTTTATTTTAAAGACAATTATTATATATCCCCACTAAACACACTAAACAAAGTCTAGAATCGAATCATTCGTTTCTTAAGTCTATAATCACACTGTATTGTCTTGACAAGGTTATTGTGTTTAGGAACACAAGCAATAAATAATACTATTATGACTAATTTAAATCATAAATCTTAAAAACTTTTCTGCACTGACCCGAACATACCATCATAGGTTGACATCAATGCCAAATTTTTAACAATTGCGAATTTTCAGCAAGAAAAAGTAATACTTTATACTTCATAATATTTAATTATGTCACAGAACTATGCATTTATATAGCCAACTCTGAATATAAACCCCATGGTTAGCTTAAACTAATATAAAAACCTCCATATCACAATGCTTTGGCCATTTGTAGAAACGATGCTGTAGCTAACTAATATAAAACAATGTGTTAAACAAAGATCTGACCTGTGAAGAAACGAGGTTGTAATAAACTCCCCGTTTGTCCATCAGCTCCGTGTGGGTGCCCACCTCCACCACTCGACCTTTGGACAGCGTCACTATCTTGTCAGCGTAACGAATGGTCGAAAGTCGATGAGCGACGATAATCGTTGTTCGGCCTTTGCTAACCTTGATAATGGATTTTTTTGTAGATTAAATATTATTTAAAACAAACTATTACACAAAGAATTTAAACAATCTTCTTGAACTACTTTACACATTTTTTGTCTTATATTTCTAACGCTGTTAAAAAGCAGGGTTGACTTATCTTCTTTACTGTTTCTATCTGTATTTTACACAAGATGGTTTTGCTTACCTTACGTATAGATTGACTGCATCATTAACGTCTAGAATGAATTATGTTACTTTAAGCATGACATCTAGGATGGATTAACGCACTTCAATCCAACCATCTAAGATGGTTATAAGTACCTTATCTAGAGCATCTTGTACGATGGCCTCACTCTCAGTGTCCAGTGCTGAGGTCGCCTCGTCCAGCAAAAGAATTTTTGGGTCCTTGACCAGAGCTCGGGCGATGGCGATTCTCTGTTTCTGTCCTCCACTTAGTTGGGCGCCATGTTCGCCTACATACGTCTCGTATTGCTAAAAGATATTAACCAAATAACATATATATATATATATATATATATATATATATATATATATATATATATATATATATATATATATATATATATATATATTAGCCGTCCCGGCCAGGCCCTGCTCTGGCTTCTGTGAAAAACCTTTCTGTTAAAGACCATTACCTGTGTGTTTAGTAATCATCATAAACCCGGCCTTGCCCACCCAAACCACAACCAACCAAAACCAAAACAACAAAACGCAAACACAATTACAAATACAAACGAAAACAAAAACCTAACAACAAACCCAACCACAACCACAAACACCAATACAAACACACACAAAAAAAGCAAACGAAAACAAAAACCTAACAACAAACCCAACCACAACCACAAACACCAATACAAACACAAAGAAAAAAACAAACAAAAAAGCAAACGAAAACAAAAACCTAACAACAAACCCAACCACAACCACAAACACCAATACGAACACAAAGAAAAAAAACAACCGAAAAAGCAAACGAAAACAAACTAAATCCAAACGCAAAACCAACCACAAAAACAAACCCAAAGAAAAAAACAAACGAAAAAGCAAACGAAAACAAACCAAATCCAAACGCAAAACCAACCACAAACACAAATACAAACACAAACCCAAAGAAAAAAAACACAAACGAAAACGAAAAAAGAAAGAACAAAAACGAACCAAATCAAAACGCAACAACTAACGCAAACCCAACCTAAACACAATGAAAACACTAACGCGAACTTAAACGCAAAGTGCTCACAGTCTAGCCCGGGGCGGAATCGCCTGTTTCAGCTTAATAAACGACTATGGTACCCCAATTTATTCATAGTCTTTTGCACTCACTTTAACGAACGTAAGCGCCAAACCGAACACGGGCGGCCCGGGGCCCCAAATAGCACCCTGTCTGGGCGCCAGAGGACGCAACATAACGTAACCGCCTGATTCAACTTAGTAAACGACTATAGTACATAACTTATTCATAGTCTTTTGAACTCACGCGAACGTAGGTACCATAGCGTACACGGGAAGGCCCGGGGTGCCAAATAGCACCCTGTCGGGATGCCGGAGGACGCCCGGATTTGATTCACTTAAAGACTATAGTAACCTTTCTTATCCATAGTCTATCGCACTGTTCAAAACAAAATTATGCAGCATAGCGCTCACATGATAGCCCAGGGTGCCAAATCGAACCGTGCAAGGGCGCCGGCGGTCGCGCCTGTTTCAATTCAGTGAACAAAATGATAATACTCCAAGCTTATCCGAAAATGGAAAGAAATAAACATATAGGATTTGTAGGACCTGGCTTATTAAATGTTATTGATTTAAAAAAAAATAATTAGTGAACAGTATGTTCAGTGTATAGAATAAATAAAAGGCAGTATTAAAAATACCAACGACATTGCACTTAATCAATCCCCGCTAATTATGTAATTATTTTTTTTCTTAGCACCAAAACAAAGGAATAAAAAGTAAATTCTTTCTTCCCCCGATTTAATGATTTTTTTTAAAAGGAAGTAACTGTGCAGTCAATACATTTCAGACACAATTTTATTAATTTTATAAACGTTGATACTTTTTTAAAAATTTTTATGTAATATTCATAATTGAAAATTATTATTCTAAGTATATAAAATGAAAATTGTTTTTAAAGACTTTCAATAGTAATTTTTTAACTCATAAATTTAGACTATGAGCACGATAATAATCTAACATATATATATATATATATATATATATATATATATATATATATATATATATATATGTATGTATGTCAAAATACCTCTTGATAAGACCTACTTGTGGAAGTGCCATAATAAAGTCGTAAGCGTTTGCCATTTTGCTTGCTTGAACGATGTCTTCCATGCTAGCATCCTTACGACCGTACCGGATATTTTCGGCGATTGTCGTAGCAAAGAGTACCGGTTCTTGGCTGACTAGACCAATGTGCTGACGTAACCATCGGAGGTTTAAGCTCTCAATGTCATGGCCGTCTATTAATATCTGTTGTACAAATTATTGTATTGTGTAAACATTGTATACCCTTTTTAACATATATTTTACTTAGTGTCTAATTGACTAATTGTTTTTCCACAATTTACTTACCTGACCAACATTCGGTTTGTAAAACCGCAACAAGAGTTGTATAATAGTAGACTTCCCTGATCCGCTAGCACCAACCAAAGCAACAGTTTGACCTTTGAGTGCGTGGAGGTCAATGCCACACAAAATCTACGGAATTTTCCAAAAGTGAAAATTTACTCCATTTATAGATTTGCAAATCAATATCCTTGTCAATTTGTTGAAATTTTTAGTACCCTGATAGTGAGATCTTTTTGACTTATTAAACTGTATTTTTCTATTACTAAATTGGGTGTGTTGACAGTTTTTATTTGTAAAACCAATTATGTTGAATCACAATCATTTGTTTAATTTATATTTTTTCATTATTTATCAGCATTTTCGATGTTTGTACTTAATAACTTAACATCTTACGCATTAAACAGATTGTTGATTTGACTAATGATTTGACTAATGTTACTCTTAAAGAGAGCCAGCATCATTCGCACTTTAAGGATGTGAATAGACGAAACAATCATGTCTCAATACCTGTGCCGCGGGTCTTGATGGGTATGAGAAAAAAATATTTTGGAAAAGAATTTCTCCATTTACTTGTGTCGGCATTTCACCTTCTGCTGAGCTGCTGTCACACAACGATTTCTGGAAATAAAATTATAAAAATAAGTATAGAGTATGTTTAAAGATTTCTTAAATTTTATAAATTTTAAAAATTATAAACATTTTTTTTAAATTAGCAATTAACAGTAAAATAGAAATAGAAACACTAGTTAATAAGAATGAATTTAAAAAATCAAAAACAGTTTGTGTAGTAAACTTTTTTTAAAAATATTTTTTAAATGAATGCTTTTTTACAAGTAGATCATTTTCTGAATTGCTTTATTCCTCAATAATGTAGTAACTTGTAATTGACCTCACCTTATCAATAACTCTATAAATCTTGACTGCCGCAGCCATTGCAACGTAGATACCGTTTGTTGCAGGTATAGCATAGCCCAAATACACAGCACTTATGAAGGTGGAGAAGAACACCTGAAACAGAGTGTAAAGCGGTAACGTTGTACATCAAAATGTTTTAATCATTTTTTCTTCACTTTCGGAGATTGGGATTTGTTTTCTCCGCACATTAGTTTCGAACTTGAATAACAAATGCATTCATAAAATTTCTATCATATTGGCAGAGCCTTTGGTCTGGTGAAATTGACATTTGTTCTTACAAGACTTTGTCTTATCAACTTACATCCAGATTTAAAAGCAGAATGTGTATTGAACTTTTTAAAAAGAACAATGTTCAGACAGATGTCACGGAAATTTTTAAAATTGAAAGAGTTTGAGCAACAGACAACTCACCACAACTGTAGAGCTCACTGTGTACTCGCCACTTCTGATCAGCTGACTGCCGTAGTAGAAGCCCAGCGCAAAGCTCAAGAAAACACTACACCAAAGTATTCCTTGTCCTAGACCATTGACAATCCCCTTCTCTACTCCGAATTTCTGGGCGTGTTTCAGGTTTTCATGATATCTAAAGCGGAAATATTGCAAGCGTTTGTCAAATACCAAGAAATTTTGTTTAATGATTTAGCTACATTTCTCTCAAGACATATATACAAATAACAATAGATTTATGTAGACAATGACCAACCTCTTTGCCTCTATTTCCTCTCCACCAAAAGCAACGACTGTCCTTATGTTGGAGAAGGCTTGTTCAGCCACAACCCCAGCCCTGGCGTAAGCCTCTCTCTCCTTGATGCTGGTTTTACCGATACTCTGGTCATGGAAATAAGGTCGAAAATTTTTTTTTCTTCGTTCTCAAAGAGATTTTCTCCAACGCAATAAAGTATTACTTGTCAACTTATTATGGACTGTTGACTCAGATTGCAGCCTGCTTTTTTTTTTTAATTTACTTCCATGTCCTTTGTTTATCCATGAACAAACTTCAAGGCATCAGTGTTTTGATTTAGGATTTTTCTCTCCTCGCCAGGTTGCTGTCCCCAGCTATCGAGCCTAATACATCAGGGGATTTTAACCAGATACGTTTCAGTTTAGAAACCGTGGGCTTTACCGACCAGACCATGCCGACACAACGTCAAATACTACCCTGTCATTTAAATGAACGACGATTGTATCCTTTAGCCAGACTCACGCACCCACATAGCTTCTGATGATGTCTACATCACTCACCCACATAACTAACCATGATTTCTACATCAATCACACAAATAACTAGCTTTGATGTCAACATCATAATGCACACCCAGATAACTGAACCCATGGACCACACGACTCACCCTGTTGGCTACAGCTGCTCCACCAATGAGAACGGGGAAGGCACACAACATCACCAAAGCCAGCTTCCAACCGAAGGTAAAAGTGATGATGAAACCAACAATACTGGAGGCAAACCATTGTGAGGCCATGGGAAGGTTTGTTTCAATAGCTCTGTAGATCAGATTTACGTCCCTGGGGAAGAGATTGGTATGACAAGTGGTACATTATAGAAACCTTTTTATATTCTACGCACCAAAATGAATTTAAAGATTGCACATTATAGAAAAATGAATGTGTAACATAGTTGTATTTGATATCTGCAGGCGTTTGTGAATAGTTTGAAAAGTTGCCCTCTTGTCGTGGCAAAGTTGTAGGAAGTAATATTCTCAGCGTATGTTTTTCTTGCTTCTCATGTGGGGATTATTCAGTTTAAAAATAGTAAATTGTTCATATCAGATGGATTTTTCTTTTAAATTAAATAATGTCTTGTATGGGCGGTTTAGCGATTTGAAACAAACTGAATTAATGATGTGCTAGTTATTTGGAGTAAATAACTCTGTTTAAAAAAACTTTTTTAATACTAGATAGCAAGCAATTTCTTCCCTACAGCTTTTTAAAGGTACATAGATTTAATGGCCCAAAATTACCCAAAATTTAGTGTTTCTACCGGATCCAAAATTTGAAATATCAAAAGAAATTAGTGTGAAGATCATCACGTAAAATTTTTAGCTGAGTACCCAAAAATATGGAAGAATATTATGAATTCATTGTTTATTGGACTTAAAATGTAATATTTTATGAATGGTGGAAATCCTACGAAGACGTTAATTTTCAATACATAGTTACCGAAAAAAACGTACCAATTTTTTAAGGAGGAATTGTATATTCGGATGTACATTAAAAAACAGTAGAAAAGAAATTGTTTTGCTCTATAGTATTAATTTTTTTTTACCGGAGCCTACCCCCTTAAAATTTTATCTGATCAGTCTCTACGATTTAGCTCTCTTTGTGGTAAATATTAAGGCTGGGGTTAAGCAGAAATAATCGACAATGATGGCTAGTGTCACTATCCCTGCTCTTGAATCCTACCTGATTTGGTACATTGCTTGTGTACATAAACTTACTTTGCAATCCTGATATGGTGAATTGATTTTATTTATTAAACCTACTCGGTTATCTTACCAGTAGGTCTACTGATTTGGTATATTGATCGTGTAACAAAACCTACTGATATCCTACCAGATTTGATATATTAATTGTGTAACAACACCTACTCTGTCATCCTAACAGACAAGTCTCCCGTCTTGTGGTCATCAAACCAGGCAATCTCCTGGACAAGGATGTTGGAGAAAAAAGATTTCCTCAGTCGGATCACTTGGCGCTGGGCTGAGACCGTGAACAAAATTTTCTTGGTCGCTCCACACACCCACGCACACACAGACAGACCTGAAACACGGGGAAAAGGTGGGGAGGGATCAATTGGACGCCTGGATGTAAACTACGTAATGTCGAGCCTCAGAGTAGTGGTTTAAACGTCTTTACGTCTGCCCAGAAATAGTGAAAACGACCAGGAACACAAAAATGTGATCTCTGTCTTGTTTAGCCT